ATATGTATGTAGACTGTGTGCTCTCAAGATCCCATGGAATGGGCAGAAGACAATTAACACCTCCCAAATATTCTTCTACATACTCACACAGAGCTTTAGAAGGTAACTATAGGATATGGTGTTAGTCTGTTATGTACTAATATTAAACTGAACCACTGTTCCATCCTCGTCCTTTATTGTTTAGACAACTCAGTATAGTAATTTCCAGTTGTCTGTTTATACTTGTCAAAAGTATTTGCATCTTTCAGTGGTAGCTACTTTCACAACATGGGAGCCAAAAGTAGTTAGGGTAGCACATTTCTATATTTAAGTGTAAAAGTCTAAAAAATGCTGGGTATGCATGTGGGAGCACGTGGAAATGGAGGCTGCATCCTCTGTTTGTCATTGCGTGTGTATAAATGACGTTACAATACTAAAAGTTTCCTGGTATTTGCACTTCAGCCTCAACTTTGGGGAAGGGAAGCTCAAATCCCTGACTGCTTGAACCCTGTTCTTCTCATTAAAACTATTGACACATAATGTGATCTCACGGTCACCGTGAATCATCAAATAGTGACAAATTCTGGTCATTATGGCCTAGGATGAGTCCAAACTGAGATCATATAGGTGACTGGCCTTACATCTTATTAACCAATCCTAGATCTGTTGGCTTCCTGCCTCCTCGGCAGTAGACTTTTTTCTGATGTACCCAGTCAGATGTTTTAGGTTTCCAGTGTGAACATAGAGATAATTTAATCCTAACATTCCTAGTCATATTGCTTGGAAAATAACTACCTTTCTTTCATAATCTTTCAGGGTCTGCTTTCACCAACCCCTTTTAGGCCAAAAGGAGAAAAAATGAAGATACCTCAGCAAGGCAACATCAAAATGAAGGAGCACAAAAGCACAGCAAATACTGTAGATGCTTAGACAAATCCATGGTTCAACATCTTTTTCTTTCTGTATAAAGTACTTAATCGCTGCTAAACTTGATAAGTACATGAGCTCCCACATTGTCACTTTTGCTTTCCTGTCTTGCAATCTACCAAGGCTGCCTTTTTCCCACTGCATGTGTGAATGCTTTTGTGTTTTGAGTCAACACCTTTGTTCTCTCAGGTAAGCCTGTAAGTCTGAACCAGTGTCATATTTTTGTAGAGGCTCATCTTTTCCAATAATTATCTTTTTAAAAGTTAATTTTGATGGAAACCCAATATATTTTTATACATTAAGCAATGCAGAAAATGTCAACAAACATTTTATACAGTGTCTTGCACATGCAATCAATTTTACTTTTAAAAATTGCAAAGAAATGTGACATCAAGCTAAAGGGAAGGATTATGCTCACTGTAATGTCCTGTGCAGTCTAAACTTTGTATTTTATCACTGCTTAGTCCAGGCTATCGATTAATTAAAGTATTTTTCTATGCAGCAAGGTCTGAATAGTAGTCATTTTCTTGTCTGTTAGCATGTTATTTGCAAAACCACTACTACATTACATTAAGAACAGTACTTTATACAAGCCTGCTCTTTATTTACACATTCATACAGGTAAATAAGGTGATACAATCCATCCCTGTCATAGCAGGCAATGTCACAGCTGAGAAGACACCCATGCATCAAGTGGTTTGAAAGAGTGAGAGACGGGCTTCAATACCACTCCCAATGTAAGAAACCATCCAGCATGGGTAAAGTAATTCAATGAGATTAACCGTCTAGTTAATCCATTTCTCCTGAGCACAGAAAGCCACAACAAATGGGAACACTCAGAGAAGCTGACTGTTCTCTGCTTTACTCCTTGGGCAACACAGCTTGTTCAGTCCCTGTTGTGTTCAAACCTTTTAAGAGATCCCATCCAGGTTTAATTATTGTAGGAAACAGTACTTCCACAGTAACAGCATATAAACCTTCACAAGTAACAAGAAATCCATCCCACATAACACCTAGTTCATATATAGTTCGTAAAACATAGAACAATTCTCATAGATTTGTAAATGTTCATCTAGTTAAATACAAATTGAACTGTATCTTGTAAAATATTTCTACAGTATTCTGGAGAGGGTACAAAAGTACTGGGAAATTTCTCTTCCCCATGAATATCAGTGTAAGTTCCTGATAGAAAAAAATATTTTAAATACACTTTCTGTTTTGAGCAAATAGAGGAAGTCATGACACACCCAAACCCAGCAGTTTCAGGAATTGATACATCATGATGAGCAGCTGTTTGAGAGCCGTCCTCTAATCTGTTGGAGCAATATCCAGTTTATGAAGCTGTGTATTGCACTGCATTTGCAACAGATAGTGTTCTGTCTTAAACCACAGAAATAAATTCCCCTTTTTCATACCTACAAATAATTACATTAATCGCCTACAGAAGTGTAAAACGATAATAACATTTTAAAGGTAATATTTCCTGCATTAGTGATGGTTTAAGTGAATGCCAGAGCAAGGTATCCTGTGCAGTTTTAAAATTTCCATCTTTCCTCAGACTGCAAGTCTTTGTTTTAATTAGTTTCCTGTAAGAGACAAAGGTGCTTAACATCTACTATAATTGGCTCCAGAACGCTTGAATCATCTATTGCTACGGTCACCCTGCAGTGTCAGCCAAAGGGGCAGGTGCTTATGAACAGCAGGAACACAGCACCATAACCAGCAGCAGTAAAACAAATTCCAGGTGGAGATACCTGTTTTGTCTATGACAGAGCCATGGAAAGCCAGCTGGCTACTCCTGGGTTCTCTACAAGAGGGATTAACAGTGAATGGGATGACCTTTTGCTCCACCTACTCAGCACTCCCCCTCTTTCCATCCCTGGGTTACAGCAGGAGCATCAAGCCCATTTTTCCTGGATTCGCCCTCCGAGAGCCAGACCATAGTCTGTGGCTAGCTGGCAAAATCAAATGCTATCTGTGCTGCAGTGAAGTCTTGTGTTAGTATTCACTTATGAAGTATAAATGTAAGGATTTCAGGAAATTCCGTCCCCTTCCTTCTCCAGTATTTATTACAGTTATTAAGAGCATTTGCAGCTTCTTGCCTGCAACATCAGAGTGCCTAGAAGCACAATGCAGCTGGGGGAGGAATGGTGTGGGACTCACTTTGTGCCTGATTGAAAGCTTTTGCATAAACATAAACTGATTTCCAGTTAAAAGATCTTTTATATCTGTACCTTGTCTACATTGCACTACTGTAGCTTTTGCTCAGAAACTGGAAGGATGTACATGAGTCCTGCATGTTTTTGGAAAAAGTGGGCCAGTGCCTTGCTGCCAGCAGTAATGAGTCACATTCACATATATGTAAGTGAGTAAAAAACTCTAAATGTCACAGCCTCTGTTCTCCCAGTCAAACCAAACATTTATTGTTTGGTTTTAATTGTGAAAAGACAATGGAGCATTCTTTTTGTGGCCCCCATGTGTAGATATATTTCCACATTCTTTAAACCAGCAAGAAAGCAGCATAGCTGCTGAACAGTTGTGAGAGAAATGTGAACATAAATGACTTGACACAGAGCACTTTAGTTAGATAATCTCTATATACCTTAGCTTACCTTTCTTGCAGGCAGGCAATAAATACATATGCAGGTTTGCTTAATAAAACATACTTAAACTTTATGCAGATCATTTTGGGGAAAAAAGTCATAAGGAAACCAGATTAGACTTAAAAATTATCAGTTATCAAAGGGCCAGCTTGATTTAATTTCTCTACCTTTAAGTGCTAGATGATTGTCATACTCTACAATGTAATGTTTAACAGACCTGCCCATAAGGAAATGCTTTTGATCTTTGGAAACTAAAGGTTGAGATTCCTCAAAACTTCAAGTACCATTTCATATGTCTGTTTTGTTTTATTTCATTATTTTATTTGAGTTCTCCTTTTTAGAGAATTTCAGTAGACAATTTTTAAACAAATATCTCTGCATTAATTTTTAATGCCAGCACTGCTATATCTCGTTACAGGGACAAACAGATTTTTAAGACATGCTTATACATCCCCCACATCATCCCTCTTTCAGGAAGCAAAAAACAGAGCTGGAAACTAAGTTTTACCTGTTTAGCTCAAATTCATATCAATTTTTCAAGTTGACATTTAACAAAGCAAAATCTTTTACTTTTCTCAAAACATTGCTTACAGGCAAAAATGACAGACTACATGCCAGAGCTTGTATGTCATAGAGCCCCTTGCAATGTCACAGCAATTTATGCCACAGCACTGGAGAGCAACTGGTTTTCCAATGAAGTAACAGCCTCTGGGAATCTTGCTCTGTTGTAATATAGCAAATGCTGGCTTTGCCCAAATTAGGAAAGGATATAATAGCTTAGAAACCGAGTCATCTACACAAAGGTCTGTTGCTCACAAACTTGTGTTGGTACTCTAGAGGTGCTAGGGTGGAAGAGGATGAGTTCTCATTGCCCACAATATGGGCAATAACCAAAGAAATAATTAGAACAGCAAGATCAGTTAAAGAACTGTAAGAAACCCACAAGGAGCAGGACATTTCAGCGTGTCTCTCCAACAGGCTCAGAGAAACTGTTGGCATAGACAAACTTCTTAGTGAGTCGTCAGATGAAAACTGAGACCAGAAGTCAGAAGTCCTGATGCTAAAGGCTGCAATTCAAGAAACAAAATGGACTTGGACAGAAACCACGTGGGTACGGTATCCAGGGAAGTGAAGAACTGAATGTGTTTCTACTAAAGATCATTGCCCTGCTCAAAGAAAGAGACACTTAAACTGCACTGTGTGGAAAGTGTCAACAAGAGATGGAAATCTAAATAGTTGACCTACTGATAGTGGATCAGGGTAACCTGACACTAGCACACAAAATTATTAGACTCAACGTACCTTTGTACCATACTGTATGGGGTACTTAATTAATAAATCATCATTGTGTTTATATCAGTTAAGACAAAACAGAATTTTAATCTCAAGATATATTATGCAATTCATGAAAGCATTACAAACAGATTTTATCTTGTAGCTACAATATACATACAGTTAACTAAAATATTAAAAGCATTGTTCAGAACACTACTATTCTACAGGTACTGAATCGTTCTTGCCTGAGTCCAATGTTTTAACTCTTTTGATCTTTTTTAAGGCTCCTTCACTAACAGAGGGCTTTCTAAGAGCAATGTCTGTAGCAGCCAGTGGCCCTCCAATTAACTGAGGAGGTGTACTTTCAACAGTTACTAAGCGACCAGATCCAATCTGAAAAACAAAATAAATGCATTGCTTGACATTCATGTTAGCATTTAAAATGAGAGTTAAATCATGAACCGTCTTTCAAAAATGTTATTCAGCTAGTGGAGATGCATGCTGAGGTTTCTGAGGCCCACTCAAACTATCCTTTATACTAAATTCACAAATTGTTCCCATCAATACAAAGGGAAAGACAGAGTGTTTTCTCAGCAGGTACTTTCATGTGCTCTGCTTTTCTGCCTTCAGGTCTGATCTTACGAATAGAGGAAAAGAAAACCAGCCTTTATTATAACAGAAGGTTGTTGTGCAATGTCATTTGGATTTGTATGTAGTATCAGCCACGGTTTTTGTCCTCAGAATTTCACTATACATTAATATGTTGAAGAAAAAAAAGGGAACAGACCCTGTTTCTCTCAGAATGCAATTGCCTGTAACTACTGCTCCAGGCAAACTCCAAGACTGAGAGACACATAACACTTTCCAGTCTCATTGCTACTCTTTGTACTGAATAGGTTCAGGTGTCTGAATACAAATCCCTGAGTGACACCTCTATCTTCTAACCATGACCTATGAAAACAAACAATGCAACAATTTGAGTGCATGTGGCTCACATGCTTGATTACATGACCTTGACTGGTTTGTAACAACCATCTTAGATTAATTTTCATCTCTCCCTACTAAGGGTATCTGTCAGAGAGAAGGGAAGAAGATTGATCCATGAAAAAAATTGCCAGACATATCTGTAATTTGTAATTCATCTAAGTAATGTACCCAAGGAATTTTATCTGGTGTTGCTGATGTGTTCATTTCATTAATACACTCATTCTGCAAAACGGACTAATCTTTTCCTTGGTTTTGTCTGCAGTTGTTGAAATATTTATTATAGAGCCATGAAGATATTTTCTTGTTGAATCCTCTCCCTCCAAAGAAATTAATAATCTTGGCTTGAGGTCCAAGTCTTTAAAATAAAATCTAATAATGTATTTCTTTCTCCTAACAACTTCCAGAATATTCATGCTTATATCTAAATTTTCCAGATACTTTCTGCAAAATATTATTAACAGTCTCAGTGATATATGCAGGTAACTAAATAATTTTTCCAGCCCACTTAATCTTGCATTCACAGTTATGTCCCTTCATATCTTTCAGAAGTTTAGAGAAAAGATAATTTGATAAAAATCCTAGTCCAGCACTCTGAGACCATCCCCTTGCTTCCTATTAAGCTCCTCCTTTCTTCATCACATCAAACATGAACTGCTTCTTTGCATCTAAGGATGCAGCTACCTTAGTTGTCATTACTCATGCACACTGGAGAGCCCACAAAAATAATCCAGCTAGCTCAGTTACTGACTGGAATGGAGATTCTCCCACATCTTACCCCAGCTTATCAAAACTCAGTACCTAATTCTGCTGTTATGCCCAAATAAGATCTTAACAATGGATTTTATATTCTCACATTTTATATTCAATTACCTTACAGAAATGAGAAAAAAAAAAAATTTCTGTAGATGCAGCAAGTGGCTTATCTGCAAACATTCAGGAACATGTTTACTGACAAAGGACACCTTTACTGATGTATTTGAGATCACACAGATTTACCCTACAATAAATGAAGGAGGTCTTGACCTCAGCAAGGTTTTCATGAAAGGCTGTCCCACAAGAGATCAAGTAGCATAGGGACCATCTTGCGCACACTTTTTATGAGTAATCTGCAGATATGAATCTCATTCTGACCAACTACCTGTTGTCTGAGGGTATGTCAGAAGGGGAAATGATGCTTTGCAGGAGATACAGACTCTGTCTTACATACTTGGAGCTTGTCAACATAAACATTATTAAAGAAAGAGTAAGCACCAGCACGTATACAGCCACAACAAACCCAAACCACTTACACATTAATGAAAATAAAACAGTGCCATCAGGGATTACTTACTGTTGTACCGAGGCCTTTAATATCAGTAGAATGGACTGGTCCATTTGGAGTCTTCAGTTTAGATCTGGAAGCTTCTATTGATTTTTCCTGAAGCCTTTTTGCTTTCTAAAGATAGTTAGAAAAAAGGCAAAATTATTTTGATCAGAATGAATTGTATCATTTACACTTGTTAGAAAATAAACAAAATGACAAAATAAATGAGGTAGTAAATTCCATTGGCCTTTAATTGTAAGTACCCTCCTTCTGGTTTGTGACTCTCTTGTACTGAGGACCTGAAAACAGAATATATGGTAATGGCTTCACAAGGGCAAGAAGGAAATAATCACTTGCTGCGACCTGCAGGCTGTATTCTTTCTAATGTAGCCATTATATGCTGTTAGCCTTCATCACCACAAGAGTACACTGTTGCCTCATGTTCAGGTTATCACTCCATACACAGCACACATCTACATAGCCAGTCAGTCCCCAGGCTGTACTGATGACATGACAACCTTATTACATCCCAGATGCACGACTCCATATTTATTTTCCTGAACTTTATGAGCTTCTGGGTCTGCCCATCCCTTCAGCTTGTCATTGTCCTTCTGAATAGCAACCCTACCTCTCAGCATATGGATTGCTTCCTCCAGCTCAGTGTCATGCATGAATGGGATAAGGATGCATACTGATCCAATATCCAAGTAATTAATGACAATGTTAAATAGTATCAACCCTATAATTAACTCTGAGGAATATTACTCAAGATTGACTGCCAGTCAAAGTTTAATCACTGACCACTGTCCTTTGAGCCCATCAGTCCAGCCAGTTTTTCATTCAACTTGTAGTCCACCTTATGTACTCCAGCCTGTATCTCCCCATTTTGGCTACAAGGATGCTACACAAGACTCTGCTGAAAACCTTGCTAAAGCCAAGAGAAAGAACATCCATCTTCTTCCTTTCCCAGAGCAAATAATTTTATCACAAAAAGCAATCATGTTTGCAAGGCATGATTTGTCTTTGGTAAATCCATGACAGCAATTACCGATCACCGTCTTATCCCTCATGTGCCTAAAACAGCTTCCCAGGGACTCAGTTAAAAATAACCAGCATGTAGTTCTCCAAATCCTTTTTCTGGCCCTTTTAAATTTCTAATTTATAGATCTTTACCACAGGCTAGGGAGGTGCTTGCACATGAATTGTTCTCTTTTGCTTATCCTTTGGGAAACGAAGAAAATTTAAATTAAGTTGCCAAAGCATTTCATTTAAGTCTGATTTCATTAATTCTCCAACTTAGTCTGATTGCCTAACCAGAATTCTAGATAACTTTTATGTTCTTTTGCAAAAGCACAAATATTGCTAAACAAAATTCCTTTAAGGATAAAATATTTCCCATCTTGAAAGACATTTGCTGTACTAAAAATAGGGAATGAAATATCAGAAAAAAATAAAGAAAAGTAAGAATGAACAGACTTTTAGTTTCAACAGTTTCAGGACAAATATACATATATATATATATTTTATACACACACACCCCCCCATTCCCAATTGCAAGTGCATAAACCATGTTGATCCCCAATTTGCGATTGTAATCAGAAGAGCAGAAGAATCAATGATTGCGTGGCTTTGCCAATACACCTTATGGTTCATTCTTCTATGTCTGTGTGGATATAAAATTTACTGTTACTTCTACTTGAATATCCTCATAACTGGTTAAGAAATGCGTTTGGAACTTCATTAATTATTATAACTACACTGTGAATGTAAATTTTGCTCTATCACTCATATTTCTTACCTTCAATGCCTCATAGTTTGATGTCCGAGTCAAGAAATTTTCCCAAGGTTTATTTACTGTTTCTCTCTGCTTATGGATACCTCGGATCTGTAATGTAAATGAGATTTACAAGATGCAACACAATCCTCTTCTCACGAGCTTTTCTGAATTCTTTGCTTGTGCTGTTTGAATAGTATGTTCACCTATGCCCTTTTGGCTACCTTAGCTCATCCTTCTCACCTGAGATTGGATGATAATGTTGTAGTAATGTACCTGTCCTTCAAAAACTTCACTTCTTCACCACCTTTAGAAAAAAAAAGGCTTACCTTCTCTGTGCAAACTAATTTTTCCCCCTCTTCCAACAAAGATGTTGAAAGAGCCACAGTTCTTTTGGAATACTTTCTGTATATTCTCACTCTCAAATGCTGAATAACAGAGATGGAATCAGTTGGAATCACTTCTGGTGATGAAAGTGCAGGCATCGTAACACGTGACAGAAACCTCAAAAACACTAGCATGAGATTTCAGACAACTGGACCAACTGATGTTACTTCTCAGAAAGCAGGAGAGGATGATACAGTAGATGAGCAAAAATACCAAATGCTTGCCTTATAACCAAAGCTGGAAAATGTCTGCTCACTCTCAACATGCTGGGAAGCACAAAGCCCTACTTTCTGAAGTAATGAAGCTCTGTAAATATTCAGCCAAGGGAGCTTATAACAGAGGCTTATGTTTCATTTTAAGAAGCAGATGTAGCTGTAATAGGTACTTTAAATTGTTATCTGCTACAGATGAACACAGGTGCAACTCTCTAGTAACATAGTAATTTCTCATTACACTGTTGCTGATGCATCACTGATGATACTGCTTCATTTTTTTCATGTTACTCTAAATACCCAAAATTATATAAACTGGGAGAATTAAGGTTAACCTAATTTAATTTAAAGTTAAAATTTTACTGCTGAGACACATTAAAATATCTCCAAGCAGTGTACAAATACAGGATTCTCAACATTATATAATAAGAAAATCCTAATGTAAGTTGACAAAAGAGCTTACATGGGCTTTACTTGTTTAATCACTCCTTGTCTTACTTTTGCATACGTTTTTTCTTCTTCTTGGATTTCTTGGTGGTGTTGACTTTCAAGCACTTCAGTCTGCTGAGCAGCAACCATTCTTCCAGTATCTTCTGATATCTCTGAAATAAATTTCAAGGCTTTGTCATCCGATGCAACAGGCCTGAATTCTTCTTTTATTTCTGCACACAGTTCAATCCAAACTTCTCCAACCTGTGTATGAAATACACACCACATTATTTGATATTTATCTCCTTTTTTTTTTCCAATTCTTAAAAATATAACAGAGCAACAATCTCTCTCCTTATTGTTGTTTCACTTCCCAGAATTTTTACACAAGGTTTGACTTCAGTAATGCTATGCCAAACTCATTGATGATAATCCTCCCTAAGCCTTCCAAAGCCCAAGCTTGGCTCCATAGAGGAGTAACATGAGTGCTGATAACTACAGCAACTCAGAAGAAATACAGATAGCTAAAAGGTTCCAAATTATATGAGTGAACAAGAGCCAAGTGTTGTATCCTACTGTCTGCTTCTTAAAATCTCAAATTGCGCATGTTATCAGAGTAAACTGCAACATGAGACATAAATGGAAGCTAATAAGAGCTCAAGATCAAGTCTTGCCAGTTCCTGAACACTTCAAGTTCTCACAGACTTTGTTCCTAAGCAGAAAATTGGCATAAACTGAAGCATCTTTTGAGCAGTATGGCTCCCACAAAGCTTGTTGTCCTGTTCTTGTTTCTTATAGGCACATAATTCTTAACTTTTAACAGTATGGATGGATACCGCATGTGGGGACAAAGATGGGAAAGCACAGAAAAACCTTTATCAGAATGTGTATTTAATGTAATTTTTAATAGCAAACCACCTCCCCCCTAAATTGATGTTACTGCACAAAGAGGCAGTCCTACTTTCCAGCCCTTCCCCAATTTCTTACTCCTGGTGCATTCCTGTTTCTTGAGCTGGAAAACAGTTACAACTCTTTTTTTTTTTTTTTTTTTTTTCCTGAGTTATTTTTAACTAGCCTTGGTTTCTAGCCTTATTTTCTATGCAGTCACAAACATCTGTAGCAGTACAAAGTAAGAGTCTGGGGAGTGCTGCAATGATGGAGATGAGATTGTTTCCTTTAATGGTAAATAATGGCTTACTCTCTGTGAAACTATAGGCGACAGCTTTTGAAGGGTTGTTTGTTGTATCCTGAGATATACGTGCTATTTTTGCAAATACAGATATAGTAGTAACAATTTTTTCCACTACTCACTTTAAAGTCAATATAACGCCGTATGATAGCAAGTGTGACAAAATCCTTAGCAGATAAACCAGGTAAATTTTCAAAACCTGAAAGAATATTAATCATGTCAGTATTCACAGCATTATGAATTTGTCTTAAAATATTACATTCTAAAAAAAGACACCATCTTATTTGTCATATAATCACATGCAACATCTTCATCACACATACACCAGTAAGTCAGTCTTCGAATCCTTAGGAGGCTTTTGGTGATAAAAAACCTGTTTTCTCCATAATAAATCCACTGTATACCAACTCTTTACTTATGAGTGGCTCCAGCGACCTTTCAATCACTTGGAAAGCCAGGATAGTACTGCATTTACTATGCTTTTGTTGTAAGGGTTTCATCTTCTGTTGAAGCAGATGAACAGTTGAGTCCACAGGTCACGGCTTCTCAAGAAGCAATTCAGCACAAATAGAGTTTGCTTTATCTGTGAAGTAGCCAACAGGAGAATCACATGACAGGGTGTCTAGTACTTTGTTTCAAAGCTGTGTAATGAGGGTCTCCTCCATCTCCATCGACTTGAGCCTTGAGCCTAATGCCTTGAGTATCATGACTCCATCTCTTAAAACATATGTTTACAATATGTATAAAAGACTAAGTTAGAGAAGTATGGTTGCTGAGACTATGCCTCATTTTTTTGCACCCTGGATGTTAATTATATTGTATTTTTTTTGAAAAAACCCTATCTATATAGTCTATCAAATCTCATTTAGACTTCACACTACTATCTGTGTGATAACTGGGAATGTAGCACCTATCTATTAGAGTATAATTACATCATGTTTTGAAGTTAAGAAATACAATAAATAAAGATCAATTAACACTGTTTTTCTAGATCACCACATCACAGGCTGTTATGAAGCATGACTACAGTAAGAGGAAGATGCTGAGAAAAGACTACAAAAATATTTCCTTTTTATTATTGTCCACTTTCATGTCATTTCAGTACTTCAGAGAAGACATTACAGTGTATGCAACTAACATAAGAGGTATGTGTGAATATAAGGGAAAAGTGGAACAAAATCTCATGCTTTTTTGCTTTAATAAAGAATTTATCTGTGATCCAACATTTAAGATAAGTAATACTAATAAAAATCAGTAAGAACCTGGGTTACAACAGAGGAAGAACTAGCTATAATTTATTACAGAAAATGTTTTCAAACCAGTTGGTTCTCCAGGTTACCCAGGGAACTAGTTGAAGCAATCTCAGAAAAATTACTGATTATCTTTGAACCTATGGAGGATGGATGTGAAAAAATAAACATAATGCCTAGTTTTAAAAGTGGAAAAGGACAGGCCAGAGATATGAGTTCAGTTCAGTTCCCAAAAAAAGTCTGAAACAAATAATTAAACAACTAATATTTATGCAGCTAAATGGTAACAGAGAAAACATTAATATCCAATATGAATTAGTAAAACTAAACCCTAGCTTTTGTCTACAGCCAGATAAGAAATGTTATGCATGCAGAAGAGTTTATAATGTCTCTTGACTTCAGTTTAGTTTTACATACAAGGGTGTAATGAGTATTCATATTCAGTGTGCAAACAACATAGAATTAGGAGGGAATGCAGCATTCTGAAGGAAAAGATTAGAATGCAAATTAATCTTGCCAATCTGAAAAATTATCTAAAAACACAGAATTTAATTCAGTAAGGACAAATAAAAAATTCTAAATGTAGGAATAGTCATCTGTAAAAATCCAGGATGGTAGATGACTGTACAAGATACTAAGTCAAATGAGCAAACAATATAATGCCACTATGTATCTAGTAATTGTTATATTAATGTCAGGATGTTTATTTACACGATGAGTAGAGGAATGTAGCTCTGTTTGGCTGTGAGGCTTCTGCTGGATTACTGTGTTCAGTTTTCGGACACTACAGATCAAGTAGAATGTGAACGAATTGGAAAGACTCGAGGAAAAAAAATAGAACTTATACTAGAAAATGAGATCTGTGAGTAACATCAGCAGAAAGTAGTATTTTAATCTAGGGAAATAAAATTGAATGTAAAAGTGTTAAAATGTGAAAGATATAGTGTGTGTGGGAAAACAAATTGCAGAAAATTTCAAGCAAATTTTAGATTTAATTCTAGAAAAAATTCCTAGTGGTAGGGCCAGCAAAGTATTGGGGAAATCTTAAAATCCCTATCAAAAGGGACTTAAATAACAGGATGAGCAAGCATCTGTTCATAACAGAGTGTCGATAATGCATCTCAAAGTTTAATTTGACTTTTTTGTTTATAGTGACTTCATTGATTGCCAGTGAAATTCATTTTAATGGCAAATATGACACTGACCAGGCAATTGACTTGTCTTACCTAGCTTGTACAACAAAGAATAAAGTTTTGTGCGTATGTTTTCTGAAATTTCCATGATGGCAAAGCTGGGACAGTTGGCAGGCATGGGGATGACATCTTGCTGTTTCTGGATGCTGCTAGCAATAGGTCTCTTCATGTCTAATAATTTTTGAAACACAAAACCAGAGTACAAGAATGAAGAGGAATATATTTCCAAAGCTATTAAACTGAGAAGAAATGCTATCTATGTAAGGAAGTATAAGGATCTTCAGCAGGCAGCTATGGACATATTCTTTTCTGTGATGCCTCCTACAAAAGAAGAGAGTTCCATCCCACTTTGCAGACAGTAAATAATTCTGATAGTTTGGCCAGGAATTTGAACATAATATTAATTAGCATGACTAAAGATTTGCGAGACACAGCATTCTCATTACTTCTTTTTACAACAAGTAACAAAACATAATGGTGTTTGTGGATGAAATTAAATAGTTTAACTGTCCATCATTAGAAAAGCTGTTCAGGGTACTAGTCATGGTTCTGCTCATTACATGGTTCACTTCCAGCTGAGGCAGGAAATACCCTCTAGTGGCCAGACTCTAAATGAAACAGGTAGATGGTATTTTGGGTTTGGTAAGAACTACAGCATAAAGCTATAAATATTGTAATTTACTTTCATCAGGATTCAGACTGCAAAAGCAAATACTGTCTTTGTTTTACTTTATTCAGTGGAACTGCTCACAGTTTCACATGCATCATGAAACTTACCAACAATCCTTCCATACCGATCATGCTTTACTCCCAGCTCCAACTCCTCCTGTCTCCACAACTGTATTAGGAGGTTAGCTGCTGTTTGATCTTTCTCCCCTCGCCAGGTACTGATGTACGAAGTGGTTTTAGGGTTGTCACAAAATTCAACCAAGATTCCAAGAACTATATTGCACAGGTTCTTTTGCTTTAACTTGGCAAAGGGAAAAGGAAAAAATGTTTTAAACTGTTCAAAACACAGTGATGTCTACCTTCAAAAACACCCAGAAAAATCATGTTATATGTAATCGAGTAACTACAAACTTTTCATTACAAACAAGACTTCAAAAGTAGAGGCTGAGCAGTATCACAAAGCAGCTGTTCTATTTTGTAGTCAGATCTTTTAGCAGCAGCTGAAAGTAGAGAAGGGTCTGCAGCAAGGCCATCATCAGAGGCTGGCAGTACAGCTGGCGAGAATGAGGAGGGAATTAAACCATGAAGGTGCATGCTGAGTTTGTGAGAGGTGAAATGCCTGTGCCAACTCTATGTCCAAGACCTACAGAAGTAGCTATACATAAAAAATACATGTACAAAGTAACCTCAAACAACAAAACTTTTAAAAACTTGAAGTGTACACTAACTCTGCTCTTAATAACTTCAATATGAAGTAAGAACTGAGGTGCTTTTCTATACAGAGATGTCATCTGAAATAAGAGCAGAGTTTGAGTTTTCTTTTTAAAAATAGTATATTTTTGGTAAATTTAAACCTCCTTCTGATAAATACTTATTTTTTAAAGATACATGGAAAATCCATCTAGTCATTTCTGAGCAGATATCCTGGTTTGTGATTGTCTTCCTGTCTCAGGGAATTACATACACTGGTCTTTTTGTTAGTATTATAATAGTCTTAGGAGATATTGTAACAAAAATAATGCAGTTTTCTGTGTTGTTTTATTACTCTTTCATTCTGTAACAACAATAATAAAAATACCTACTGCCAACAAATCCAGAAGGAGAAAAATGCCCTGTTTTTCAAGAAAAGAATCCTCTGCAATGTAACATCCAATGACACAGGACCTTAAACAGAAATAATTTCACTGTGTAGAAACATTTTTATGCTTTAGAATATTCTACAAGTATCTAGTTTATTTTACTGAATTGCATAAATATATTTGGTATGCAGTACACTTCATACCTTCAGGGAGTAGAAAAATCATGTTTCACATGCCTCTTCATTTACACTTTATAACTAAATATACTCACTTGATTGCTCTTTCTTCTCTTGCATGTGGCACACCTTCCTTGTAGCAACCCAAGAAATTTGGCAGGTTCACAATGAATTGGATTAGAATATGGATTTGAACAAAACCTAACTCAGTAAAAGAGGCTAATTTAGCTACATCATGCCTTTGATTTGGCTTACTGCAGGGCTGTGTGAATTTTTCCTCCAAAAGAATCAAGGGGGTGAGACAAGCAAGACTTTTTTTTTTTTTTTTAACAAGACTGTTTGCTTCTCACAGCTTAAAATGATCATAAAACCAGCATTCATGGTGTTACTGCTTCCTTCTCTTTATTTCCTCACATATGGTCATGAACACAGAAAATGAAAGGATCTTCTGCATCACTGAGACTTTTCTCCCAGACAAACATATCATTTGGCTTTCAATGTATTTATAAACCTCCACCTTAAAACAAATTAATTTCTGGTTCTTCTCCTATGTTTTGGTGTTCTCTGGTAGCAATCTTTCAAAAATGTCTAGCCCAGTGTAGCCACACACCTTATGCTTACACCACTTTTAGCTAATACTGGTCTATTTTTGCCTTCTGTTTACTTCTCTGAAGTTATTTACAGACTCTAACCATATACTTCTCTTACAAAGTCTTAGGTAACTCTTGCAGGTCAGGAGGTCACTCTGTGTGGCGAGTTAGACTGCTGTGTAGGGAGTTAGGCTGTCATACCGAACCCCTGTTTAGAAGAGAATACATGCAGAATATTCTGTTTATTTGGTATCATTTTTAATTCGTCAAATTGTAGGAAAGTTTTTTTTACACATTTTAAACAGAAGAAAGGCCTGTAAGTGTAGAGAAAGGCCATAGTATTGTAGACCCAAAATACAAGACCTGCCATTTTTAAAAAGTTACTGCCACTAAAATAATTCTTTACTAACCACAAGCAGTCGAGTGCACTGAAGAGGAGATGATTGTGGCCTAATCCACTATGTAACTGCTTTGGATCCATCTGAATGAAAGAGATAAGTATATCCACTCCTTCATAGCTGAAGAGTTCCTGTCAAAATGTTAATTAAGGCAAAATGTTTCTTAAATAATATTTACTGAATAGCTACATACAAGAATATACAAAGGAAACTGAAAAAGGTAAATATTTATATTGTAATAAGTTTGGCCCACTTGTTAGAACAGGATATATTCCATATAACATACATAAGAAAAAGAGATTTTTCCTATCTGTTAATCCCATTCATTAACACATTTTCATACATATTTATTTTAAAATTATGTAAAAGTTATGAGATACTTGCTAGCAGATTTCTGTGTGATTTTGCATTTTAACTATTATTGTCACAAAAACCAATTATCAGCCCTGACTTGTTAGTGATGAACTACAACTGACATCTGCTTTTGAATTAAAAAAAAAATATGATATTGTTTAAATGAAAATATACCACAGTTTGCCATTTTCTGCACAGCACGAGGTAGAAACATACACACCTTTCTGTGGGGATCATTTTCACAGACAGCAGACAAAATAAACAATATATCAGATTGGATTTCCAGTAGAATGGCATTTTCTTTCTCTTTGGATTTGTCTGCTGCATACTTTAGGATGTCTATAAATGAATATATTTTATACATGTGAATGTTCTGTACACAAGTCAGATTTCCATTACAGCTGCTGATTTCTAAAAAACCCCGCAAATTTACACCAAGGGATTTTTAAAGGAATCTACTTATGCTATTCAGTTTTATCTCCTGTGTTTTATAACAGCTTACAGAAGTGCAGCACTCTGATGCTGTAGTTTCACAGACTTTACTCTTGCTGACAGAGTTAATCATAGCAGCTTGCACTGACCTCTTCCCTGTTCAGTTTCTGTGCTACCCCTTGTACTGTCCCAGTGCAATGAACTCATGGAACTGATCTGAATTAAGAAACTCTTAGAAAAAGGCAAGGAACTGATTTGCTCTACTGTACAGCCTCACAAACATATGTACTGACAGTGGAAATGTGGGAGAGACATAAAATACCACCACTGCTAAGAAAATCAGCCTTGTGACCACTATGTGAAAGAAGACATTCACAGAATTCCCCCAAAGTAAGAAAAGTTACTTGAATCTGATATGCAGGGTATGTACGGTGTTAATTATGCTTTCACTAAAATCTGTAGGTTTCCACAGAATTTTCACTGGAGTTCAACTTTCAACTGAGGATATAAAATCTTTTATTTCTAGGCTTTCTATTAGAACATACTCTTTGAGTTCCAAAGGATCTTACCTATTTTGTTTCTTCCAGTATGATTCTTTTGGAGAACTTTTTATTATTGTAAGAAAAGAACTTAAACCAGTGTGTATTGGAACTTAAAACCAAATGTAACAGTAGGTATGTGTTACTGAACAGGAAAATGCTCTAAAATGCAGGAGCCGTGGTTAAGCAGTTTTATTCTGCTTTTATTCTTCACAATATTATTCACACAAGAGTACTTTGTTATTAATTTCTCCCTACTCTAAAGAGGAGTTGTAGAAAGTGACACCATAACAGACAGGTATACATGTCTCATGGCTGGAGTTCCTAGGGGCTGCTGCAATGAAAATAAGATGTAACACAATAAAACCACAGCACAGGGAAAACAATGAACATTCTTGGTGTCAACAGAAATGTAATAATGTAAGTACAGCAATACAAATTGTGCTTTACCCAGTAGCTGGCTAATTGCTCCCTGGTCACACAAATTAAGGTTCACAGGATCATCATAAAGGGACACAACAGACCTCAGCACTCTCAGGCTGTAGCGCATTTGTGCAATTTTGTTGCCACGACCACCTGTTCCATGGAAACTGTTACCTTGACCAAAGAAAGCATCTGTGGAGCAATCACAATGAATATTTTTTTGGCAGAGTGTATATTCACAATAATAATGTGCTCAGGAAAAAAAAAAAAAAGGCTTATCAGTGTAAATAAGCTAAAAACAAAGAAACAAAATCCCTTAACGTTAGAAAGACTTCTTGTTTAAAATCATCGAGTAATAAGCTTTTCTGTGTAGGGCTATGCTTCTTACATTGGTAAGAAAGGTATAATTTTGGTAAACATTTAAAATTATTACAGCAATTTTTTTAACCTTACTAGGTTAATAAGCAGTCTTCCAAACTCAAAATACCTTTTCTAGCATGACATGTAATATCAACCTTTTGATGTCCATGAGACCCAAATTAAAAATTCTTCCCGGGAAAACTTTATCAATTTTATGATGAAAACTAGCCAACCCCAGAAAACCAGACCATGAAACTGGGTGCAGTTAGTTATCTTTTTACTTAGCTCACACTCTTAGCTGATGACCACAAGCCAGTGTTAGTCTGGAAATTGTCTTACTGGGTACAGCTCTAAATTTAAGTGAATGTGTGCTGCCTCATGGCAGGAATTACTGGTTGGACTTGTTGCCTCAGCAAGTGTATCTGACTAGCTTAAAATACAGACAGTAGTGATGTGTGGCTGTCCACACAACTGAAGGATTACCAGTGTAGTGGTACACAGGGAATGGGGCACCAGATTATCCTTCAGTATAATTTTTTTTTTTTTTTTTTTAGGTAGATTACTTTCAGAAGTGACCTACTGAAAAGGAAGTATTATGACTTCAGGACCTCTACATTTTTCCTTTCTGTCAAAGAAAGTAGGTCCAGTTGAGTTGTGTTTTGAGGTTACTGTATGTATATGAAAGCCATGAGCATCTACTGACCTTGGCCTATACACCATTCTAGAAACACAAGGAGAAGAGTGTTTGCTTGGCAGGACAAATATTTATCTATTAACACAGGAGCCACTGAAGCTAAAATAGCAATTGCATGAAGCTGTAATTCTTCATATTGGGCAGCAGACCAGTCATGAAATCCAGGCTTTTGAATTGGTTTTACATAATAAAGCAAAGCTGGCATCACATCATTTTCACTGAGAAGCTGCAGAGTCAAGACAGAGAGACAGCTTACAGGTTTCAATAATAAAAATCTAAAGCAATGAGTCAACTTTATCTGTCCTATACTAAGAAAAACATTTTTTATTGAGAAAGTATGTAATGAACGCTACAAGTACAGACAAAATCTCTTTATATTCTGTAGCATTCCCACAGACTGCAGTCTGTTAAACTTCATTATGTTCTTCACGCGTATTTCAATAATGCTTTGCAGTCACTTGTCAGCTAATTTTCCTAGCACAGTCTAGCTTTGTAACTTTTCTAAAATAGAAACTGCATGCTGTTTTCAAACAGCAGGACTTGGTCTGAAGCTATGTATGAATTCTTGATTTGGAGAAGAGCTGATTTCAGTCTGCTGGACTATGCTAGATGGACAGCTGAACTAATATTCCTGCGATTCTTTTGACTTTTTTTTTTCTTTTGCTTACTGTATCTTCTGTTCTGTTACAACTTACCTGTACAGCACGTGGGTCTTTAGATAAGACTCCTATTACATTAAATAATAACTTCTTCATCTCGAAGTCCTCGTAAGAGTAGGTAAGTTTAAGACCTTTTATCAAAGGATTGGGAATTCTAACTATGAAGGAAATTGTAGATAAGTTACAAAAAAAATCATCATTAAAAGTAAAAACAGTGTAATTATGCACTATGAAATATCTTACCTTCAGTAAACGTTGCAAGTACTATTAACAGCTTTGCAAATCCACTTTCCTAAGAGGCATTCAAAAAACATACACAAATTAAATTGCAGTGAAATTAAAAGTTGTGATTTAATTTTAGTTTTGTTCTTTTCTTCAGAACACAGAGTTTAATGTATCTTGTGTCAGAATAAACAGAATTTTATCACAGAAGAGATCTATCATTTGGACATCATACGATATTAACTAACTACAGTCCTAAGGGGACAATTAGGTAAACCCATGTCTTATTCAGTACAAGTCTGAACTAACTTGTATGGGAAGTTCTAAACACATATATTCACTACTACAATCCAGCACACAAGAAAACTGTATTCTCAGTACTGTTAAAGTTGTGTTTATTAAAATGCATTTGTGCATGTGTGAGTTTATACATTAGGATCATCAGTACATACAATTTTGTGCCTTCAGTTGTGTGTACTAATACACTTATATTCAACCTCAGTGCATTTACAAGTGAGCACACGAAAACTGCATGTATGAGCAACGTGCATTTACAAATGCTACATATGAATAATTTGGAAAATACATTCTTGTAATTCACAGCTCCTAGAGAGCTAACAGAAGGACAATTACATCTGATAGAACTACGGATAGGACCAAGGTAGTGAGTGTCTATGCAGCACACCAGAGGCACAAGAGCTTTGTTTCTGAGGTGATTAGAAGCCATGGTAACCAGGACATTGCTCTTCCTGAGCAAGAAAATACATTAGCTTGGCCTCAGTACTCAAGCAAAGCCACCACAGAGCTTTTCACTAGCTCCCCACAGGAGCAGAGCTCACAGAAGTCTACACAGACATCCCCACAGAAGCAAGCCATTCTATTAGTTTTGCAGCAGCTTTTTAGATACATCCCCAAAAAGCTGGGATCAGATTTGTTTGGCCTAGCTCTGGAAGTTAGCATACACTCAAATGATTTTAGTAGTTAGAAAAATATTGGAAAGGTAATTTTAAAGAAAATATTGAAGCACACAACTATACTGCCTATTAGCTTCTGTCTCTATAGTATCTGTATTCTCTGTACAAAGTAATTGCAAAGTGGTTAAATAAAAAAAAATAAATTAAAACTTATTAATGTTTTCTCCTTGCTGATTAATGCAGTACTAAATTCTTATGGAAATCAGTAAGCAGTTACCAAACAGTTTTGTTTTAACACAGAGCAAATAATTAATAGCATTATAAGGTTTACATGTATTTTCCAATTTACTCATGGTGAGAAAATTATTTTCCTTTACAAAGGCTCAGATTCCTGTGCTGATTTCTGAATGATGCTAAATACAAGACTGAGTTTTATGAAGTTGCTTGGACAGTATTTAAGAAAAAAAAAAATTCTGATGAAAATTTCTCTGGTATTATCAACAACATGGGATTCAATGACAATGTTTTTGTCTACTTGATATTTATACCTTGTACCTTATCTCCAGAAGCAAAGTAAAATTTCTAGGGAGGCTGAGAATAAAGAATCTAAATTAAAATGGTTTGATTTTCCCTTGAATTGAAACAATTTTTCTCCCTTGTAGTATAAGGAATTAAAAATATGTGCCCTGGTTATTTATCTTGTAGGAAAAAACTGCCCCGATTCTACAGCCAGATAAACAATCTGAATGTTTTAGACATCAAATATGTTGCTGCAATAGTAAAACAGACACTTCATAATGGTTTGTGATAAAATGTCGAATTCCTGAACAGCCAACAGATCTACAGGTATTTGATTGCTAGTACTCCAGGCTAATGATCTAAAGATTTGAAGCCTCTGTGAGGTAAAGGAAATTGCAGAAAGAAAAATGATTTCTTGCTTAGCAAATCTAAGAAAGAGGAAAGCACTGGAGACAGAGTAGCACAAGTATTAGAACCCTAATGGGGAAAAATACTGAGTATACAATAGCAAAGGAGAAGGTATTAGTCTCTGGAATATAACTATAAATACTTACAATCATAGGTGCTGCAGGGTTTTCAGCTAGTAATGTGGCAATCACCAAGAGGTCATTCCGGAGCTGACGATCATAATGCCGGAAACCATGCATGAGAAGGTCTACAAATACTTCTTTCAAAGCACTTAAAAGAAAGTGAAATGCATTTTACCTTTTCTTTTCATATTCTAATTTCAGACAGCTCTAGGTATATGAATCCCCATTCAGCATTATACTTTTCAAAGCCTTAGGGTTTAACTGCAAGAGAATTAACTTTATTACGAAATGGATTCTTATGTGTACCACTAGACATCCAATTTAAGCATATATGCAAGGTGCATGTATTACAAATTCCATCTTCCACTGTATGTGCTCTAGTTAATTAATACAAAGATATAATATTTACTCAAGCATGGAACTGGATGTTGCTGAATGATTACTGAGAAAAAATTGTCTAATCCTAAATAGTTAAAACAGTGTAACTCAGTCAGGGAGAACCTTACTTAAGGGAGAAACCTAGATCCTCCAGCAGAGAATCTAGAATTAAGTGTTGTATAACATAGCACAGAATTTCCTACTAATTTTATAACATAAGCATTTCAACAGTGCAGTAATACTGGCCCACCAAGCCTAACTTGAGCTTGAAAATAGTGCAATTAACTTTTTTGTCATGCAAAGCAATAGATAGGGCTATACCTCCCACACTATTCAGCAGAGCACCTTGATCTCCCTCTTGCCCTGTAACAGAAACAACTGGTGGTGGGTTGCTGTGTTCCTGAAATACAGGCTTGACAATGAAATAGTTTTGAAGTTGACTGGATGTGTTTGTAGCTGGACCCCAACCACTGAGTTTGTAAGCCTGCCTGTTTGGCAGGCACTTCTTGGATATTATATCATTTCCTGGCATCTCACAGGCCACAGTGCTAACTTGCTGAAACAGAAACAGATGCCTGAGGGGTCTAAATCATGGGCTGCTTGGCTATGAGGTCTGATCCAGTACTGCTTCCATTTTTGAGAACCAGATGTGTTAATACTGCAAACTTAATGAGGACTTAATGAGAGACCTCCATTCCCCATTTGTGTTTTCTCACAGTTCGTTTCAAACAAAATGCTACACAAGAGCAATGCTTTAGATGTCTCCAAAATTACAATAGTAATTCACAAAATGCTTCCCTGTACTTACTGTACACATTCCAAGCTACTGAGCTGATTAACAACTTCTTCTTTTGAGGTGTTTTCTAACAGGTTCCATAGGATTTCTGAGGAGCGGAACATCAGCTGTCCTGAGGGATCAACACCGTTTAGATACAAACAGAGTCTGCTGGCTGCTTGGGCCTTCATCATAAGTCTGCAATTTACTCCTGAAATTATGAAAATCTGAATAATTAATTCCCTGTAGGTCAGTAATTGTTTTAGGCATGTTAAGAGAACAAATGATCTAAGATCAGAGGGGTTGAAAGAACAGTTTGTACTAACCAGAGCTGGAGAGATGCTGGAGAGCTTTAAGTACCCACAACTTCTCAGTAAGTTGATTTTCAACTAATGCTAGTGACAAAACAAGAGTTTCTGCTAATCCTCCTAATTCAGCCATCTGAATTTTATAGTTTGCACTTGTTGGCTGGTAACCTGCACACACAATAGCTTTAGTTATAATGCAGTAAATAAATAAATAAAAACAGTTACAGTAAATTTTAGTTACTTCATAAAATATTAATCCTTTCTCAAGAAAGGATTGAGAACCAAGTATCTTTTTTTCCTCAGTCCTAAAACCAATTGAAAAAAAATCTAATAAACAAGAGCTGCTTTTCCTATATCTGAGTATTAATAGTGCACAAGGCATATCCAACAGACTTACCCTCAAAAAGACTAAAATGCTACATAAACAAATTAATTGCTTCCTAGAATTTACCGAATGAAAGAACAAGCAGGGTTATAGAGAGGTGAAAACCTTCTTCAGGTCATACCGTAAGTTGTTGGTGCAGGACCTCCTTCTCTTCTGTAGCCTACAGAATTAATGTCTTCTATTATCATATTACTTAAAGTATGTAAATTCAACCTTTGATTTATAAGCTTGACTTTCTAATGTGTCCCTGTTTTTACTTTTGTCCATGCATATGCAAATCTGTATTTCATGACTGAATTACAGGGGAAGGGGAAGCATTGAGAAAATGCTATTTATATATGCTAACTCATGAAAGTGAAGTTTATCTTCAATAGCTTAAAAAAATACATATCAAACACCAGGAAATGCAGGACTGATAAATGCAGATAATGCACATGGTGAAAGGAGTTTTACTTAAGCATAAACTCCAACAGACTCTCAGCTGGTATTACTTGATAGGTAAGAGAACTTTGCAGGATCACTTTGACAAGATTTACACATATGCTTAGAGATGAAGAATTTGACTTAAAAAAATCAGACTGAAACACATTCTTCATTTTTGAGATAACACCTTATTTTCTAAATCTGTAGGAAAAGAATAAAATCTCTCAATATTTAACATTCACTTATCTTGATGGAACTATTTACAGATATACAACAAAATGCACACATAGTTGCTTGCAGGATTTGAGTCTTGCTTGTAAGGTAAAAACACACTGATACTCTTTCATATTTCTAGAATCTTGTAAGGGCTATTGCAGCTTCAGCTTCTTTAGGCCTCCTAAAATAAATGAGAACTAGCAAGAGGGCACAGGACCTAGTGGCATGCTGTAGGAGTTCAGCAAGGGAGCTGACATCCAGCATGCTCCCTCACCTGGGCTCTGGATCCACACTGTGACAATGTTATCTGTAGCTTGGCTTCCTATACATCTAGTGCTGTCTCACAGCATGTGATCCTGTGCCCCTCTAGAAAGGGATCCATGACTGACTTTGCTTGGTAACAGCCTCTGGCACCATCATAAGTGTCAAAGGAACAAACAGTAGTGGATTCTGATGACAGTCTGCATGCCTATTCATAATACCAGAGGATCATGCTTGAGCTCATATGCAGGCATCATCAGCCTCTTTCTGCAGAGACAAGTCACACAATTTATGCAAAGCCTATGCTCAAATGTGTCCATATAATATGAACTCAAATTTAGATGGGCTCAGATCTATCCCTCACAAGCAACACAAGTGGCACCAGAGCTGCTTCTCTCCAAGCTACATACACAAAGTTGAAAATTACACTTTCCTTCTTATAACTCTGATCCTAACTACTCTTTCTTCCTCCATTATCCATGTTTTAGAGAACTTGTGACCACTTCACATTTTCAGGGTACTATTTAATCCTAATCCCATAACTGTAATAATGAATTCCTTGTATATTGATGAACTAATTTCAGATTTTGAGCATTCATTTCTATAAAAAGATGTTAATAGCACATTTGCCAATGCCATATATTTAATACATGACATACAGTAACTATAGTTATAGAGAAAAATTAATCCATAGTTAATTTAAAAAGTAATTTCAAAGTAGCTGAGATCATAAACATTTGATTTCTTGTGACACTTGAAAATATTGTGCTTCACCTGGAAGTAGTTTTCTTGGTAGCTCCATATTATAAAAGTTAATAACACACTTACAGATTTGTATTCTAACTTGAGAGCTTGGGACCCTCATCAAATAACCTGTAAGAAACAGAAAAAATGTAATTTACAAAGTTTATAATTTTTTTAGAAAGTAATCTTAACACTTCTGTTTACAATACATGTTTCCTTTGGTCACACCCCCTACAAATCTGTCATTTCAGGCAAAGCTGGATTATAAAATACTCAAGGGACAGGGACTCCCACACTGAAAAGGACAAAGGGGTCGTGGAGGAGTAGCATAAAGTTAATTAAAAAGCGACCTCCTCTGCTTTGTGGCTACAGACCCTTGTAAGAGACTGGATGTTATTCCAGAAGTTGTGGAATTCAGAAGAAAGCTACTACACTAGGGTGTTGTCATCATTACCAAGTCAGAAACTCTTCTACTAGCAGACATGGTATGAAACAAAAGGAGCACAGAGAGAGATCCTTTTCCACAAGATAAAGAGAATTCCATTGAGAGCTACCAGTGCCTAGCATGGATAACATCAATAATCTTTTAGATTTTAGTGTCTTTTTGGACATGCTACTCTAAAGAAAATCTGGAACTATCTGAGACCAGGAGGCCATTCTGCTATCTATTTGAACCTGTGAAAACAGAGACTTCTAAAAATACTTTTTTTCTCACCCATTTAAAGGATAATCTTTTTTTCATATGTGATAGCCTGATCGTGCTACCTCTTTAGCATTTAAATCTTACCATTAAGTGAGCTGATACATCATTCCTGTTCTATTCTGAATGCCTTTTGACCTACAGTGCTTGTAGTATTTTCTTTGAAATTACAAAAGTGACATGAAAGGTTGTAAAAAGATACTTAGGTACTAAGAGGTCCAGTGACATTAAGACATGACTTTGACACCGTTTCCTCTCTTAAAACAAATTTCTGAAAGATAGAAGCTCATTGCTCAGATGCAGTAGGAGGCTGAAGTAAGAAACTGGTACTCCTAGTAAGGCATGGCATTAACTGACTTATATTTTGCCTTTGTAGGTGATAGGTCTCAGACTTTTGGGTTTTGAAGGTTTGAGCTGGGAGTCAGGAGTTATCATTTCTCACTTGTTTCTTCCATTTGGTTTCAAAGAAGCAGGAAGGATACATGTTCCTCTTACCCCAGGCTTCAGTGTTTACATTCATACACCAATTTCTCAGAGCAAAATGAAATGCAACAGGTTATAGACAGGTTTAGTTCTTCAGCTGCACTGATAAAGGTACCTCGCATAGCCTCCAACATCGGCAAATAGGTAATTCTGCTAGGTAATCTGCATGTTAGCTGCACAGCAAAATAAGAATGGTTTCTAATACTAAAAAGCACATTGGACTGAATGAATAATTGAACTAAATTACATTCACTGTGGAGATAACAAGCAATTAAAATCACGCTAATAATATGGTTAATTTTATCATGGCATAATAATAATTTTATTGTGGCGTATCAGTTTACACTCACCCAGTTGTGCAATGGATTTTGAAATTGCCACAGAATAGCTTACTTCATCAGATAATTTCTTTTTTTGAAATGGTAACCTGTAAAATGAAATTTAAAAAATACTACAACCATGCTTAAAACACTGCAGAAGAACATTTTAATCAAGTCACCAGAAAAGTTCAAAAGCTTTTCTCTTCTTCCTTGACATTTTTTGCAAATAAGGACACTTCTCCCAGGACAAATACTTTATTTGCAACGCTGATTCTACACTGAAAGTTCCAGTTCCACAATCTGGTGATTACATTTTGGCAATTAGTGTTACCTGTGCATAGATAACATTTTCATAATTCGTATTTGGTGCAATAAGAAATACTGAATAAACAAATATAATTTAAATGTGGAAGATTAAATCCTGGAGCCTGGGCACTGTCAGGCTGTTGCAGAGCTAGACTATGCATAGGCATATGCAGAGGTGGAAAAAAAGGATCATAACTCTGGGCAAGACCTCTTGAAATGGATAAAAATAAAACCAATAAACTGACTCCATACAGTCCAGTGACAAATTTATTGTTAAAAACAGGATATTAAGAAATACTCAATAACATTTGTAACATACCCAGATATGACATAAACATGTAAGAGCTAAAAATTCTCTAACAGTAAACATTAAAATATTATGCTAAGGTCTCTAGAGCTTATAGTACAGAAGCAGCTTTCCGGCAGGTTTACCTCTGTAAACACAGACAGAGAAAAAGAAAGGAGAAAGCAAATAATGGAATAAATAGGGAGAGGAGGGGGGAAATTGACATTGAAAAAAAAAGTGGGAAGAAGACAGGTAAACAGAAGCAGTTACAAACATCTCAAAGGAAATTTTAAACAGCCCCTCCCTCTAGTTATAGGCTTCTCTTTGTCATATAAAGTAGCAGTGAATATTGGGGGAACTTCCAAAGCACAGAAATTAAAGCAAAACCCAAGGGTGCAATCTTCCAAAATATATTCATTGCAGAAGCTACAATTATTGCTGAACTGCTGTAAGAGATGAAAAGTCTTACTGAGAACTACACTTTTTCGACTTTACACGTTCATTCTCAGTTTTGTCACGCTTCTGCCAAACACCAAAGAAAATGAAACTTTGTGATGTACTTTCTCATTCTCCACTGTGTGGCAGCAAAGGAACGCAGTAGAACTTATGGTGCTGGGGGAACTAAAAGATTCAGCTGCAGTTCTCTGTTTACTAAACCTAACATCTGAGAGGAAGCTATGGAAAAACCTGTTTGAGCATCTGGTTTACTATGCGACTCACTTTCTGTCTGGCATAATTTTTTTATCATCCTTATTCTCTCCAATTATAATGAAATACAGGAGTAATTGTAGATACAAGCATTCCATAAGTAATTTTGAAGAAGAGGAAACTACTGACAAGTGTGGATAACATCTAAATGCTATTTTACAAAACAATTTAAAGTACAGTAAAACAATGAAGATGCCCCAAAATTCATGCAGTATGTTTTTAGATTAATTATAAATCCCAAATCCTCCAGTTGTTGTGGTTCTTTCTCTTCTGCAATATATCTTGTGATTTTGTAAAGCTTACCTTCAGGTATTAAAGTATCATTATCATTAAAGTATCACCTCAGGTTTTTAAACTCACTTAAGAGAGCTTGTTTGAAACAGCAAACTGTACCTCAGCAGAGCTTAACTGCTGAATCTTTTGAGGCCAGCAGTCCCAGAAAAACTTACTCCAGGCAATAAGGCACCTTGGGGAATCTTGCTTCCAAGCAAGCTGGGGCCAATTACAATAGTTTTGAATGATGTCATATGTAGCTCCACAGATCCTGAACTGCTAAAATGGTCCTTCCTTCATGCCAACAGAAACTGGACTGAAGGAAAACACAGTTCATGAAAAGGAAGGGTGATAAAATAGATGCCTTGCAGACAGATGCTATATGGATGTCAGTTGCCTTAGAAAATATACGAACATGTTAATAAGCACTGTTTAAACATCTAAAAGGGCTGAAGTACTTACCCACATAATTTAATAAGTTCACATAAAGGCTCAGTGAAAGCTTCTTGTTCATTCATTTTTTCTGCACACAGGTTAAGAATTTCAAATATTTGTGCTAAATCCTTAAGGGGCTTTTAATTTAAAGTTAAGGAAATCAAATTGTTTGTACCGCTATGAAACAGAAGGAAAAGTTGAAAACTGTATTCATCATACCTTCAAAGACACAATCAAGAAAAAACAAGGCCAGTGCTTTCAAAGTTAGATGTCTAAAATGAAGTGTGCGAGTCAAGACTTAGGTTTTTCAAAGCAGCCTTACTTTTACATAAGTACAACTCTTGCAAATCTGATTTAGCTTTCTTATCAGCTGAACTCACTGATAAGTTCAGCATTGAATATCTAAAAATATAGAATGAAAAGTTTTTACGTCACAGTGTCAGATTTACCTATATAAATTCTGAGACAACCTTGAGGTATTTAAATTCTTTCCTACTCTGGTCCCAAGTGAGTAACTAAAGTTTGAAAATCTAGACCCAAACACATATTAAGATTAGCTAATTTAGAACAGAGGCACAAGATCAGAACTGAACAGATCACTGAGACTGAGAAGTTACTACCAATCCACTGACTCATGGAAACTGCCTGTTAAATGCTTAGCCACACCGCAGTTCTGAAGTAATGTGAGAGCTTAAATCACTCTGTCAATTAGCTGAACTGTAGTATGAAATTAATCACATTTTTCCATATCCCTACCCCCTCCCTAGAACTTGTGATTACTGGAAGACTTTCAATTTGTACTGTGAATATGAAAAAAGTTTCAGATAAATTAGTTCGACTGTATTTTTGTTTAAAATGTCTCCTCACTGGAAGTCATTGCTACTTTATCTGCTGCTTCTTAAGTAGTGACCATTATTACAACTGCCTATTCTGAGTTGCAACCACACTAATTACAATTTGAACACTTTCAACCACTGTATAGGTGAGACCTCTCTATTGAATTTTACAGCAAATGAATCTAGCATCCAAGAACCTTGCTAATCTACCAACCTTGGCTATGGGTGCACAAGGCAAATGATGAGAATGTATGTGGACCACCATTGCTCTCCATATGGAGCACAGCACATCATAAAAATGCTTTACTAAAAACTCAAGAGTATTATCATACATAAGAAAACATGACTTTAGAATTCTACAGTGGCAAAAAGGATACAAACCCATTTTCAAAACGCTTGACTACCTTCTTGAGAGTTTTCAGCTGCTCTTTTTCCAAATCTTTCTTAAGTAAAAGAATGAAAAGCGGGTTTTAATTGCAGTTTTCCTTAGAACATTAAATAATTATGTTTATCCCCTTTCAAGTTTAAATGAAAGTGGAAACCAGATTAAAAAATCACAAGACAATGAAATTCTGAAAGTGCTTTGCAGCAGGATTAGCTCACAGATCAAGCCTCATTTCCAAGTATGGAGTCTGCGCTCTGGTAACTGAAGAGGCTTTTAAAAACTCTTATCTTTTGTTCAAATGTGTGAGCTCTTTATCTTAAATTCTTTGGGATTCTGTGAAAGACAACTAAGGAAACCAAACCTATGTCACACAATGTAAATGTATAGAAATGCAGATCTAAGGAGGCTTAGAGTGGAGCTCTGCCACCACCAGGAAACAGTGTGCAAATTCAAAGTTTAAAACAACTGAAATGAGGATGTATCAGGGTATGAGAGTGATATGTAGCATTCATTCCCAGTCTTCTGATCACCTCCACGCTGGGCAAAAGCACTACAACTTGAGGCAGGCCAGAAAGTTGTTTCAGGAATCTACAAGCCCAGAATCCTAAGGGCATTTTATCATATATCTTATATACCCTAGAGAAGCAGTAAACAATATAATCCAGCACATTTTTATTGTCAGTAAGTTTATTCTATAAACTGTGTATCAAAAGGGAAAAAAAAGGGACAGGAACTACTTCTTTGTGGGGCATTAACTTAAAATGTAGTATGTCTAATAGAGTTCTTGTTTTAAGAATTATTAGGTTTTTAGATCAAAAGTAACTGATGGCTTAGTGAATTTAGTCTGCCAAATCCTGTGGAAATCCATGAGATTATGTCCTCCAGTGTGCCTAGGTAGTCATATTTGTTTCTCAGCAATGAACTTTGTATATTTCTCCTTCCTTTAAAATCACCTCCCTGGAGAAATGTTAGCAGTTAAATTGGGCAATTACATAAATTCCTGACATACTTTTAGTAACTCTGTATGTTTTTATGTTTCTCAGCTGTAGGTTTCAGCACTCAAAAACTCCCAGATAAGCTAGAAATTTTGCATGTCTAGTTTTTAAACACACATGCTTTTGTCTTTTTGTCTTTTTTTCTTTTTTAAAGTGCCTGTGTGAGGATGTGCTTAGCTATATACATATATATTTTAATATAGAAACATCATGGATACCATTCTCTATTACAATGACCATCTTTAGAAGAAATGTTCAAATACCAGAAGAAATACTTCACCTTTGCTCTGGGGCCCCAGCCACCAGTGACATGTGGTTTATTTAAGGCAGGTACTAAAGTAATTGTAAAAACCATTTTTCTAAGCCCCATTACTATCTCTGTAACTGAAATAACGAGGTATCAGGCTTACTTACAGAGTTCGAATCTCCAAGTAGTTTGATGACGTGATTCAGATCCACTGATCTTAACTGTGTATCCTGGAAGAGTCACACTTTTAACTTTTTAATTTTTCTTTTCTTTTTTTTTTTTTTTTTAATTTTGGCTGTGCTTAAAAAGTGCTTAAACCTTAAAATGTAAAAGTGTGGGTTGAACCCACAAGAATCTACCCAGGGACGGGTAAATCCAGGCTGTGTGTGGAGCACAAATTTGAGGTTGTTCTCAGCACG